GATGGAAGAAAGACCTGTATGTAAACAATAGAGATCTCTCCCCCTTCAGCTCCTGCACCCTGCTTTGTATGGCTGTGCATAGCAGTGTGCTTACAGTGAAACACACACAAAGCCCCCATAGTAAAACAGCACACAGTTAACCCTTTGATCGCCCCACATGTTAACCCCTTCCTGCCCAGTGCCATTAGTACAGTGTCAGTGCTTTTTATTAGCACTGATCACTGTATTGGTGTCACTGAAGATGCCAGTTTCACTAAGTCAGTCCCCCCCCCCCCCCCGTGTCAGAAAGCCAGCCTCAGTTCCACTATAAGTCGCTGATCGCCACCATTACTAGTAAAAAAAAATAAATATCCCGGTATATATACCGCCATATGTAAACGCTATAACTTTCAAGTAAACCAATTAATTTACACGTATTGGGAATTTGTTTTTAGCAAAGACATGTAGCAGAATATATTTTGGTCTAAATTTATCCCAAAATTTGATTTTTAAAATTTTTTTACTAGACATGTTTAATAGCAAAAAGTCAAAAATATGGTTATTTTTCAAAATTGTCAGCCTTTTTTTTATAGCGAAAAAATAAAAAATGCACAGGCGATCAAATACCACCAAAAGAAAGCTCTATTTGTGGGGAAAAAAGACATACATTTAATTTGGGTGCAGTGCTGCATGACCACGCTATTGTCAGTTAATGCAGGGCAGCGCTGTAGCACAAAAAATGGCCAGGTCAGGAAGGGGGGGGGGGGGGTAAATCCTCTGGAGGGCAAGTGCTTAACGTAAGATTAAAATTATGATTCTGGTGCAAAGCATTGCAAAGTTATTTGTAAATGAAATAAAGTTGGAAAGTTTTTTTTTTTTTTCATTTTGCACTTTTTTTTATCAGTAATTTTTATTGGCTATAACAAAGTTACAACAAGGATAGCCTATCTTGGCAGTACAGTACAAATCTGAAAGTACATTCATGTAACAGACATATCATAGAAACTATAGTATCATATAAGTACCAGGTTTAGGAAACTCAATGTCTTTTATCAATCTACAATGACTACTGCAAGATCTAGGATTAAGGATTTTGGAGGGATTACCTTGTAGTAAGAAATATTACTGAAGAGTGTCAAGACTTGGAATGCATGTGGAAGAGAAGTTGACGGGTTGGTCAGGAGAAGAATAATGTATTCGGCAAACAAATTAATTTTATTTGACTTAGTTCTAAACTTAAAGTAGAACTCTGGGATAGGCAAAAAAGTCACCCATACACAAAACACCAAACAGTTAATACATTTGTAAAATTCCTTACCATTGAGGAGAAAAGTCTAATTGAATTTTCAGGAAGCCATCTCTGTAATTCAAAATATAACAGCATCTGCTCTGCCAAGGAGGAAGTGTAACAGCAGGGATTACATCATATCCTCTCATCTCAGGAAACTACACTTCCCATCAACCTTTGGGAATTGTAGTTAATGTGGGAATTTACATTAGGCCTGTACATGTTGAATGTGTACTCGCCCACTTCAACAGGAAACATGCCCACATATTCCCCAGCTGCCACTGCTATCCTCACATGTGATCTCTCACCCTCCAGTCACACCAGAATTGGAACTAATTGCCCTAATATTCTGTTTTTAATCCCAGAATAAATATGGCCACATGCCCAGAATTAGATTGTTTTATCCACTCTTTATCCACTCTGCTGGAATTAAATATTAGAATTATTTTTCCTATTGTTCTAACAGCCGCCACTGCTTGTATATTTTCATGTGAACACATCCCCGGCCACAACAGAACAGAAAAAAGCATTGGGACATAAAGCTCCATTCACGCTAGGGCCTTTCAAATTGCGGGTGGAATCACCACGATTTTGCTGGCAATTTGAAAACCCGCTGTAAAAATATGAAAACACGCAATCATCTGTGCCATCTGTTTCGTTTTCCGAGCAACAAATGCATTTTGCTGCGATTTTACCTGGAATTTTGGCACAATTTTACCTAGAATTTTGCCACAATTTTACTTATGATTTTAGCTGTGATTTTACCTTGACTTTTGCAGCTATTTTACTCACAATTTTACCTGCGATTTTACCTTGAATTTTGCAACTATTTTGCCACGATTTTACTGGGAATTATGTGGCGATTTACTCACATTTCTGCCACAATTTTATCTGAGATTTTGATGCAATTTTACCACATTTAGGGTGTGTTTTCATAGGTCATGTGCCTCAAGAAAAGCATCAAAACCGCAGCGCGTGTGTGTTTTTTATGTGTTTTTGCTGCATTATCAATGCATTTCAGGCCTGGTTCACACCAATGCAATGTGCATTTTGTTCTTTTGCAGTGCTTTTTGAAGTGCGTTTTGAATTTTTGATGCATTTTTTGCTGCGTTTTGCATTTTTTCAAATTTTTTTTTTGCCCAACTTGTTGCTGGGCAGATTAAAAACACAAAACATATCAAAAACGTAACAGGTGTGTGTTTTTTTAGTGTTTTTGCTGTGTTTTCAATGCATGTCATGCCTGGTTCACACCAATGCAGTTTGTGTTTTGTCCGTTTAGCCATGCTTTTTGCAGTGCATTTTGCATTTTTGAATGAACATTTTTTTTCTTTTTTTCTTTATGCAATTTGCGTTTCTTGAATTTTTTTTTTTTTTTTTGGTCAGCTTGTTGCTGGGCAGTTTAAAAACGGAAAACATATAAAAAATATAACACATGTGTGTTTTTGGTGCGTTTTCAATGCATTTCTGGTTCAGTAAACCACAAAAACTAATGCAGTTTGCACTTTTGGTGTGTTTATCATGTGTTATGCTTTTTTTGGTCAACTTGTTGCTGGGCAGGTTAACAATACAGATTAAAGCTCCAATTACACTAGGGTATTTCAAATCACAGGAGGATTTGCTGTGATTCTGCCAGCAATTTGAAAACGCACTGTAAAAATGTGAAAACATGCAATTGCATGTTCAGGTGCCATTCATTTGACGGTGTGTTTTTGTGCTCTAAATGCGCCACGATCCTGTTAGCAAAATCACGGGACGCGCAATGCCCAAAAAAAACATTTGAAACACGTTGTAAATGGAGCCTTAATCTGCATTTTTAATCTACCCAGCAACAAGTTAGTAACAAGTTAGTAAAATAAAAATTAACAAACCACAAAACGCATTAAAAAACGCTTCAAAAATGCACATACAAAAATACAAAACACATTGCGAAAAGCACGGCAAAACAGACATTAGCAAACTGCATTGGTTTTTGCGTTTTTCTGAACCAGTCCAGAAATGCATTGAAAACATAGCAAAAATGCTTATGGTTCTGTTCCGTTTTAGATGCGTTTTGCATTTTGAATCTGCCCAGCAACCGGTTGGCCAAAAAAACCCTGCAAAGTGCATCAAAAAACGCATCAAAAATGCACGCGCAAAACACAAAACACACTGCAAAAAGAACTGCAAAATTGGCAAATGCAAGCTCCATTGGTGTGAAACAGGACTGAAATGCATTGAAAAAGTAGCAAACACACATAAAAAACAAACATGTGCTGCAGTTTTGATGCCTTTTTTTTGGTCACATGACCTAAACACACCCTAAACGTGGTGAAATCATGGCAAAATCATGGGTAAAATCGTGGCAAAATTGTGGCAAAATTCCAAGTAAAATCATGGCAAAATTGCAGGTAAAAATTATGGCAAAATCTCAGGTACAATCGCAGCAAAATCGTGAGTAAAATTGTGGCAAAATCACAGGTAAAATCACAAGTAAAATCTCAGCAAAATTCCAGGTAAAATTGAGGAAAAATTAAGGGTAACATGGTGGCAAAATTCTGGGTAAAATCTCAGCAAAATTCTGAGTAAAATCACTGTAAAATTCTGGGTAAAATTGTGGGTAAAATCACATTAAAATTCTGGGTAAAAATCACTGCAGAATCGCTGCAAAATCCCAGGTAAAATTGCTGCAAAATTGTAGGTAAAATCACAGCAAAATTCTGGGTAAAATGGCAGTAAAATCATGGATAAAATCATGAGTACAATCGCTGCAAAATTGTGGGTACGATTGCAGCAAAATCTCTGGTAAAAATCATGGCAAAATCTCAGCTAAAATCATTGTGAATTGGCGGGTAAAATTACGGCAAAATTTTGGGTAAAATTGCGGGTAAAATCGTAGCAAAATTCCAGTTAAGATCACTTCAAAATTGTGGGTAAAATCATGGGTAAAACATAGCAAAATTGTGGGTAAAATGGCAGCAAAATCACAGGTAAAAATACGTGTAAAATTGTGTCAAAATCAGGGGTAAACGTGCAGCAACATTTTTTCCTATCTTCAAAATGGTGACACTTTTTTCGGCAGCCGATATATCAGTGCTTCTCTAGTATGTATAGTATATACCCTGTTACTAGTGGAGGAGGTGCAGAGGCTCCTAGCTGAACCTATGGGAGGGGGGACAGACCCAGAGTGTCCTGAGCTGTCATTCTTAGAACACTGCCTGGGGGGAGGTACAGACCAGGAGCCTGACTCCACCCACTACAGTGAGCAGGGAGGAAATACATCACAGCTTTCTGGAGAAAGAACTTCAGAGGGGCCATTGACTGGAGGAATAGGAGGAATAGCAGCCACTAGTCTTACAAACAGGAAACCACAGGGGATTAACGGTTTTATTTGAAAATCATCGGCTTATTTCAGAGCAACTACTGAGTGAACCAGAAGATGGAGGATATATTCAGTGAAGGTAAGAGATCAGCAGCAAGGATCTGGAAAAAAGGTTTTTGACTAGAGTTCTGCTTTAAACCCTGTGATGGACAGATCACAACGAAATCGCTTCTGCCAGTGGCTCGATCTTTAACTTTTTGCCTACTGGGCACTTATATCCCCTTCCTGCCCAGGCCAATTTTCAGCTTTCAGCATTGTCACACTTTGAATGACAATTGCGCGGTCATGCAACACTGAACCCATATGAAATTTTTAACATTTTTTTTGAGACCGATAGAGCTCTCTTTTGGTGGTATTTAATCACCTCTGGGTTTTTTATTTTTTGCTAATCAAACCAAAAACAACTGAAAATTTTGAAAAAAAAATTTTTTTCTAAGTTTTTGTTATACAATTTTGTAAATAAGTGCTTTTTCTCCTTCATTGATGTGCGCTAATGAGGCTGCAGTGATGGACACTGATAAGCTGCACTGATGGGCACTGATTGGTTGCACTGATGGGCATTGATGAGGAGGCACTGGTAGGTAGCACCGATGGCCATTGACAGGCATAATTGATGGGCACTGAAAGGCAGCACTCATATATGGCACTGATAGATGGCACTGATATGTGGCACTGATTGACAGCACTGATAGGTGGCACTGACTGGCATTGATAGGTGGCACTGATAGGTGGGCACTGAAAGGCAGCTCAGATGGGCACTGATATGTGGCATTGATGTGCACTGGTAGGCACTGATATGTGGCACTGATGGGCACTGGCAGGTGGCATTGATGAGCACTGACAGCTGGAATTGATGGACACTGACAGGTGGCACTGCTGGGGCTACACTGATCATCAAGGCTCTCTTATCATCAGTGCCCTGATGATCAGTGTACATGTCCCCTGAGGAATCATGATTACCGTCTCTCCTCTCCTCTCCTCTCCTCTAGAGTTGTCAGCGTGACAGTTCGTAAAGAGAGAAATGCCGATAACCGGCATTTCCTTATTTAGATGCGATCAGCTGTGATTGTACACAGCTGATCACATGACCGAGCCGATGTATTCGGCTCTATCCATTGATTGGTGTTCCACTGATCGCCGCGCTGCACACCCCCGGAGCCGCGCACTCGCAGATAAAGTGGGAGGACGTCATATGAGAGAACCGCCTTGTGCCCGTCATTTCCTTATATGGCAGGCGGGATGCGGTTAAGTTAAAAATCGTGGGGAATAGTGGACATCCCTGTCGAGTCCTGTTAGATATGCTGAAAGTTTTTGATAGTAGGCCAGAGGTGAATACGTGTGTTGAGGGAGTGAAGTGTAATGCCAGGATAGCGGAAAGGATAGTATCCCAAAAACCAAGTTTGGCTAACATCATTGACATACAGTATATTGCAAGTGGACTCCAGCAAGCGCCTTCTCTGCATCGATGGACAGCAGCAGAGAAGGAGTTTGTTTTTTTTCTGCCTACTGAATGACATTTCCAATTCTCCAGGTAGCACCTGAGGTTTGCCTTCCATTGACAAACCTCTTCTGATCTCTCCGGATCCAGGAGGGTATAACATTCATTATGCATTTGGCTAGAAGTTTGGCATATATTTTAACATCTTAAAGTTTAATAATGATATTGGTCAATTTTGCACTTTGTTTAATGGAACACTAAAAAAATGAACCAACAAAAATAATGAAATAAAAAAGAAAAGATTAAATTAGCAACCCCCCCCCAAAAAAAAAAAAAAGAGTAGAAGGAAGAAGACGAAGAAGGAGTTAATTAGGGCTGATTAAGGTAATCTAAGGGTTGAAATGCAGATAAAACAGTAAATGCAAAAGTAATAATGTTACTTTGTATCTCTTTTTTTCACATGTGAACGGTGTTGAAAAATGCCTTTTTGAAAGCAGCAGCTACTAGAGCTGCTGTTTTTACACAAGATTAAGGGAGGGAGAAAACCTGCACTATCTAGGTGTAATATTAAATAAACCATTTAATGAACAAAAAACAATAGCACTCACAAAGGAGGAATGATCAAGACATGTATGGCAATAGGGATGGTTGTCAGTGTCGGTTCCGGACCACAATGGATAGAGGCTGTGAGCTGGCTTGCAGTCTCTGGTCATCCCTGTACTGTCTGCAGTCTCTGGTCTCTGTGGTCATCCCTGTACTGTACTGGTCATCCCTGTACTGTCTGCAGTCTCTGGTCTCCTGTGCTGTTCCCTGTCATCCCTGTACTGTCCGCAGTCTCTGGTCTCCCTGTACTGTCATCCCCTGTACTGTACTGCTGCAGTCTCTGGTCATCCCTGTACTGTCCGCAGTCTCTGGTCATCCCTTGTACTGTCTGCAGTCTCTGGTCATCTCCTGTACTATGTCTGCAGTCTCTGGTCATCTCATGTACTATGTCTGCAGTCTCTGGTCATCTCCTGTACTGTGTCCGCAGTCTCTGGTCATCTCCTGTACTGTGTCCGCAGTCTCTGGTTATCTCCTGTGTACTATGTCCGCAGTCTCTGGTCATCTCCTGTACTATGTCTGCAGTCCATTAGTTCAGAACTTTTTTTCCTGTTTTCTGCCTCTAAAACCTAGGTGCGTCTAATGGTCAGGTGCGTCTCATGGAGCAAAAAATACGGTAGTTTTTTTTTTCAAAATTGTGGGTCTTTTTTTGTTTATAGCACAAAAAATAAAAAACACAGAAGCAATCAAACACCACCAAAAGAAATCTCTATTTGTGGGGAAAAAAAAGGCATAAAATTAATTTGGGTGCATCGTTGCATGACCACACAATTGTCAGTTAAAGTAGCGCAGCACCGTATCACAAAAAATGGCCTGCTCAGGAAGGGGGGTAAATCCTCTGGAAGGCAAGTGGTTAATAATCAGACACTTACCTGTACCAGGATCCAGCAATGTGCTTACCTGAGGGGGAGCCAGGAACCATGGTCGGTCCTCTGCACCAGCATCTTAATTTTGGGGCGCCCAGTTGTGACAGCTTGCAGCTTCACAGCTGGGTGCCCACTGTGCATGCGCAGGTTGCACTGCTCAATGTGTATAGCCCCACAGTGTTCTGGTACCTGTAACCTTTCCCAGAAGACTGCAGGGAGAAAGGGGAGAAGGGAAACTTCCGTTCGGATCTCCTAGGTGATCCAAATAGAAGTGGGAGCCGGTACCTGTCAGAACCAAAAGCAAAATCAACCCCCCCCCCCCCAAAAAAAAAAAGAAATGCCAAATGTCAAAGAGGAACAAGGGAGGAGGCCTTAAAGCGGAACGTTTCCTTTTGGGTGGAGTTCCACTTTAAATGAGGAAATGGTGCCATAGCCAAGCTTCCCGTGACCACCCTTAGACAACTTTAGAAAGCCAAAACTCTAGCCATCTTCATATGACATACCAGTTTTCAATCTAAAGTCAGCAGTCATTGAACAGAAGTATCCTTAACACTTGTTATGAGGAAGAATGTTTATTTAAGCAGAAAATACATTTGGAGGAGCTAGATATACTGCAACTGGACAAAAATATTCCTTCTCCATAGAATTTCTATACCGACCTGTAGTGGCGTTGGATACTTTTGAAGCTTACACATGCTATTTCTCGACAATTTGTCAAGAAAATATTACTTCATCGATATATATTTAAAAGCATAACATATCACTGTTAGAGGAAACGAAGATGAAGTGAGAAGTCAGAGGAAAAGTTTTTTCTGTAAATAATGTCAGGGTGTGTGACAAGCAGTTCCTTTGAAGATTTATATATTGTGATTTCCTGGGCTGAAGTAGCCCAGGGCTGAGATTTTTCCCTAACATGACCAATTTCTGTCTAATCCAGTTGATGGTAGCTAAATCTGACAGTTAAAACTGCAAGAGTTGCTGGTTAAATTATATCCACAGACTGGAGTATGTCTGGCTTGATAGAATACATGTTGATCAAATGCGATCATTCAGTATTACTACATAAGGATTGCTGGTATTTGTAGATTCAGTGTTTGGCTGTAACCTTTCAGCAGAGACTTCAAATTATTTCATTCTGTAATGGACCATTGTAAGACCAACACTGGGTATGTCTTATTAGGTAAGTAAGTATTAGGTAAGTAAGTAAACATTTTAAGTAGGTCCATACAAAGTACTTACTTGATTTTGATTATTAATTGCATTCTGTTTCTGTCAGAAATGAAGTGCCAAGTTCTTCGGCTGCCTTTCTCTTGCCTGATTCTAGAGCAAATAATAGGAAGTCAAAAAACAGAATCCCAGAGAGTGTCTCAGTTATCATTTTTTAGCATCTGCAGGAGATAAGTCATCCTCCATTACGATCATATATTCTGACAATGGAATGACATTTGTGCTCTGACAGGGACCAAATAACATCAAAATAACAGCACATACCACCTATTCCTGAGAAGTAAGCCTGCACTGCTGTAAAACCTTTTTTTAAAGGAGGCAGTAAAATCCCAAGAGCAGGTCAAGCTAGAATACTCTAATCTAATCTAATCTAATCTTTGTTCTGGAGCTTCCCCCTGCAGTGTACTGCCAGTATAACCACTTTATTAATCAGTTTACAGTCACTCTGGTCAGTAAAGAATAAATGTAGATCTGCAAGTATCATGACCTGGCAGCCAGATAGCAGTTTCTTGATGTTAGTACAACAGCCAATTACAGGAGCAGAGGTGATAACAATAATGCAGGGTCAAATGCTAGTTAGTGCACACAGCAGCAACAGCAGGCAACATGAAAGAAGGGATGACAGTGGAAGCCACAGAGAGGTGAGTTTACATCACAGAGGCAAATGGAGAGTCATGTATGACAAGTCCTACAAAGAGAGGTTAATAGTTTGAGTCCATTTCATGACACAGAACAGGGTCAGCGGCAAGCTGGGTCATACACAGAGAGGTAGTAGTCCATGTCTGGTGGAAAAGAGTGTTCAAACAGGCCAAGGTTATCACACAAATGGATAATTGAAAACCATAGTCAGGAAGCCAGGTCAGAACCAAAACAGCAGGAAGAAATGCTAGCACAACACTAGCTCTATAGTGAACACAAAACGAGAAAAAAACACAGCACCTCTAAGTGCAGACTATCAGAGACTTTAATATCAAAATAGGTTAGGCAACTCATATGGTTGATAAAACAACAAGCTCATTAAATAGTGATAGAACTATGGAGGAGAAGCTGTAGAGACCAGGGGATGCAGCCAGTGTGGATTGAAAGAGCTGGATGGCAACTCCGCAGGTCCAAGGTGGACTGGAATGCACCTTATACTGCAAGGTTCAGTGTTGTGATCTCACTCTGGTGCAACGTGTTTCTGAGCATGCGTGAAATCTGCAACTGAGAGACGCGCTTCTTTATCAAGCTGTTAATACAGGGAGTTCAAGAGCCTTAAATGGGCAATAGGGAGTGGCATTGCTGGCAAGTGATGGGGCTACAGGGCTCAACGAGCCCACATATATAAATATTAAATAACAAATTCATCATAAAATATCCACAGAAATGAACAGTAATTGCTATGTTGAAACATAATTATATATAACTTAATATATACTGTACATATGTGTAATAAAAGGGCTTATGTAAAAAAAATCTATTAGTTATATGAAAATATTAATTATATATGAACAAGCTAAATAACAATAAATGTAAAAATTGAAGATATAAAATGTGCTTCTCGTGTATAGAAAAAGATCAGTAAATGGGAATAGTTTTAAACACAGATGGATCATATTTAAACATACGTCGATATGTATACTATATTATGCTCTTACTAAAAAGACCGCCCAAGTAAAAAAGTTTCAGACCACCCACAAAATCAAAGAAGATGGGGAACCTGTAAATAATTATGAAATAGTTATTATTGTATATGAACAATTGGTACCAAAAATAAAAACAAAAACAGAGGAGTAATTAAATTGTTTGGATGTTAACAGTGGATGAAGCATAACTTTCAAAAGGTGGTAAGAGTAATTGTTAAATTGGATGTTAAAAAATAGTGGCAACCTCAATTTCCTCATTGAGGCCAGCGGGGGACAGGATGTCAAGGACATAATTCCAATAGGTCTCCCATTGGCAGAGCCTGTGAAAGTCTCAGGAAGACTACTGGGCATAGATTCCACAACCCACACATGTAACCC